ATCACACCGTTAACCACTTGGTCAGTGTGTCCTCAGAGTCTTATATTGTGCAACAGATATCATTTATTATTTGTTTTTAAGTCAATTTTATATAAGTGATGGATGATTGGACCAGAATTTTCAGACTCCTTTAACATGTCAACTCCTAGTAAGGATGTTTCGACGATGCTTGAGGATAAAATTGAAGTAGTTTGATGGACAGTGATTTGGCAACTACTTCGCTACTACGGGGTCCCATCGACAATTATACATCTCATCCAACAGTTGTACGACAGCGCTGCATGTCAAGTAATCCACAACGAGAAACTCACGGAATCCTACGAATTGAAGACGAGAGTAAGACAAGGCTGCCTACTATTTCCAACGACTTTCGTGATTGCGGTAGACTGAATAATGCGACAGACAAGGGTGGGCAGCGAAGAAACAGGCACAAACTGGACCCACACAAAATACTTTGAGGACCTGGACTTTGCCGATGATATATATCTGATTTCCAACAAACTGGAAGATATGGAAGTGAAAAGCAACAAGTCGGCAGAAGAAGTATCCAGAGAAGATTGGCCTTCAGGTGAACATAGAGAAAATAGTGGTGATCAAGATTCCTGGTTAACAGCATCAGAAACAACAACAGAAAGCAGACAGCAATCAGTGTAAATGGCAGAAATTTGAAAGAAGCAACCTCCTACCTAGGAAGTATCGTTTCAACTACAGGCTGATGGAACTGACGAGGATATCAAAGTGAGGGTCGGAAAAGCAAGGCAAGCTTTCATTACTCTCAAGTTTGTGTGGAGGTCAACATCACTTGGCATGAAAAGTAAGATCTGGATTTCTAACTCTAATGTGAATTCAGTGCTACCATACGGATAAGAGACTTGGCGCGTCATAAAGAGCACCTCAAAAAAACTACAGACTTTCATCAACAGCTATCTTTGTTTAGTACTCAAGATCAGATGGTCAGAAAAGACCGGCAACAGGGATGTCTGTGGACGAACTCACCAGAAACCAGCTGTGCAAGACATATGCAGAAAGAAATAGAGGTGGATTGACCATACTCTGAAAAAACAAACCATCAAATGAGTGACATCACACGCCAGGCCATCGCTCGAGTGGAACCCCATGGGTAACAGCGAGGGTGACATGGAGGAGTCAATGAGAATAAGAGATGTAAGCATGTGAGAAGACTTGGAACGAGGTGGAAACGGTGGCGAAGAACCTAACTCAATCGGAACATGCGGCTGAATCCCCATGTTCCTCTAGGAACTAAAGGAGACAAATAATAATAAAAGTAGAAGCTTTTGGATGATGCTTAGAAGTGGAATCCAGGAGACCCGTTCCACCCTACGTAGGACTCGTTATTTTGATGCATTCTCCATTGTTTGATGTTGTCCCCACTGATACTCGAACTCCACATCCATCGTCTCCATTAAGCCACTGGGTCACAACAGCCACCTCCTATGCAATAGATCCTTTGGCGATATCCGAAGGCTAACATAATGTTTTTTGATTGGTTAATTTATATTGGTGGCTGACAATGGAATCCAAGATTTGTATTTCATCTTGACTAGATCGAAATAGAATGAAATATTCATTCTCCACTTTCCACTGATAGTCACAATTATGTATGAAAATAACATCAGTTAATCGATGTTCAAAGTATAAATATTACTCAGTTTTCATGAAAAAGGTCAACAGTTATAATCAGAACGTGAGTTTCTTCTGTATTTAAAAATCTTTTAAATACGACCGCATGTATATATATATAGTCACTTGTGACAAATCAACACAGCAATGAAATCAATTATACATATACTATAATTCTTAAAATAATCACAACAGAATTCTCTATCATTCACAAACTTAACTGAATTCGATCACAGCCATCAGATTAATATACTGCATCAACTTTTGAACAGAGATGATTATATTTAAGTGTCTGATTAGATAATTGGAGGAAATCGGTAGGTAGACCCTATCTAGACCTAGGAAGATTTTGTGCTTGTTGACACTCACAAGTCTGTGAAGAGTAGTTAAAGTCTTTAAGAAATTCATGTATCTTCTGAGATTCTAACCCGTATCACCCAGTCTTGCAGTCAGAGGTTTATCCACTAAGCTAGCTATTCGGCTATTAATCCCCTATGGGACTCTGTATTAGATACTTTCATTTAACTGTATTGGATTCAAAAAAGGCAAATCATGTTCAGACCAAATTGCAACTCTACACATCATCATCACTACAGAACAAAGCATGGAATGGCAATCAAACCTCAGACTCAACCACATAGACTTTGAGGAGGCCTTCAATAGATAGCGTTGACCGTGAAGTAATTTGGAAACTACTCGAGTACTACGGCGTACAGTGCCCCAAATATTCATCAACCTTATTCAACAGCTGTATGACAACGGCACATGTCAAGTGATTCACAACGGAAAACTCAGTGAGGCGTTTGGAGTAAACACAGGAGTCAGACAAGGGTGATTATTATCAACAATGATACTGCTAATTGTGGTGGACTGACCGGATTATGCGTCAGACAGTGAGTGGGAAACGAGAAGACACGGATATACTGGACCAACCGACGTGAAGAACCTAGAAGACCTGGATTTCGCGCGTGGATGATTTATGTTTGATGTCACACAAAATAGAAGACTTACAAGCGAAAACCAACAAACTTGTAGAAGAAGCAGCTAGCGAAGACAGGACTCCATGTGAACATAGACAAGACGGAGGTTATAAAAATAAACAACCAACTAGAGCAACTGTGATATCCAGTGCCGATTACCATCAACGGGTGGAATTTGAAAGAGGTTACTTCATTCACTCACTTATCTAGGGATCATTGTCTCAACTACAGGCTGTCAGAACGGACGAGGATGTCAAATCGAGATTCGGAAAGGCGAGAAACACATTCATCAACCTGAAATCAATCTGGAAATCTTCGTCACTCAGCATCAACAAAAAAATTCAGTCGGATTTTTAATACAAACAACGTAAAGTCAGTCAGTTCTTCTATACGGATCAAAACCTTGGCGGGCGAGCGGGTCACAAAGAATATTTCTAACAGCCTGTTGCAGACCTTTATCAACAACTAACTGTCTTCGCTGGATCTATTCTGAAGATCAGATGGCCGGTCCGGGCAGAAAAGAATCCCCAACAAGAAACTGTGGGAACAAGCAAACGAAACAAGAACCAATCACCAACCAACAAATATGCAGGAGAAAGTGGAGATGGATTGGACATTCGGTCGCTGAGGAGACCGCTGGGTGACATCACACGGGCTTCAGGCCATTGCTCGAGTGGAACCAGGTCGAAAGGGAAGTGGCGAGTGTGACTTCAGGGCGAGGGTAACATGGAGGAGATGAAAAGTACAACAGAAGACAGAAGCAAATGGAGACGTGCAGTTGAAGCCATATGTTCCACTAGGAACCCAAAGGAACAATAATAATTTAAGTGTATTGCTAGGTATTGTACTACTCATACACATCAAATACGTTTAAAATTTAAAGAAGGACTCTGCCAACAAGTGACTGAAAAAGACATGAGTGTGCTTGTGGTTGGAGGTGCATACGATTGTTGGAAATAACTAGCAATCTTTCAGATAGCTGATATCTAATATCTAACCTCATAAAGAGACCACTGACACTTAGAAAATCTACTCAATTACGCACTGAATGTCGCTCAGTATTTAGGCCAGGAACCAACTGGTGAACACATTCATAACTAAATCTAGAATTTTTATAAAAGCTATACTACTCAATGAATTTTATTCAGCTTCGTCTTATTTTGGTGAACATTTAGGAATACGCACAAAGAAAACAGATTCACCCTTCAAATTTGACTACAAATTGATACCATTTAGAGAATAGCTTCTTCCTAGTGCGTGACTCTTCAGCAGTATGCATCCATGACTTTCAGGCTATAAGGTGAATATGCAGACCATTCAATGGCTGAAAAAGAATTTTCAATGGTTCATCAATTCCAACTTCTGTCGATTTGTGATTTTTAGCGCCACCACCGGTCAGTAAATCACACTTATAATGACTTGTAACCAGAATTCCAGGCAATTTCATCCTACGTTCATTTATTAATGAGAATTCGACTGATCTTCAAGTGTTAGTTTGTGGGAATTTTATTAGCTTCAAGTATGATGACAGGTTAATATCTCGCATTTACGTATCATGAACTGAAAGAAATTAGAATTCATAGACAACTGGATGTCATCCTAGTGGCTGAATGTTGAACGATTTCACCTCATAACCAAAAAAATTCTTGGTTCAATCTTTAGAAGTGGAGATGAGCCAGTGAATGAGTGCGTGTACTGGGACGGAAAAGCTTTTCAGTACTCACTATTCTATCTTCAGCGGTCCTTCAAAATGAAGACATTTCATGATCGAACTCGAAACTAGTCAAATCCCTACAATCTAACACTTGAAGATGTCTCCTTATTTGGATACTTCTAAAACATTATTTCAGAGGATAACGAACTTCTCTCTCTAATTTTCAGATCCGCTCATTATCCTTTCAATAATACAACCAATAAAAGCTGATAGTGAACTGCCGAAAGCAAATTTCAATAAAATACTTTCCACAACCGTGCGTCGGTGGCACGCCTCATATGGTTCGGGTTTGATCTCCGGCAACCGACGCGCTCATTTATTTATTTTATTTTTTATTTTTTTATTTTTTTTATTTTTGATTTACAGCTTGATTCTACACTGCATTTTTGGTACAAGTATGGAATTTTCAGCATGGGTATCGGTAGCCCAAATTTTGCAGGCCGACCATAGATATCGAGTGTGCGCCGGCGTGGGCTCGAACCCCGGACCATGTGCATGGTCGGCGAGAGTCCTAACCACTGTGAGGAGGGAAGATTGGTCCAGGTGAAGCTAGAAATCCCATCCTGTAAAAATAAACACCACTGCTGCCGAAACTACAAGCCTCTAGATTGAAGTCACCTTATGTTTCAGCACTGAGAACGTAAAGAAATCAAATAAAGACTTACCACAGCCACTGCTCTTGTACTCAAAATTTCAGCAACTGGTACAACAGTTGCATATGCCACGTTAGCAAATGTATAAAATGCAGTCACCAGGATACAAGAGACAATAATTGCTATAGGCAAATGTTTTCTTGGATTTTTCATCTCTTCAATCATACAGTTTAAATAATTCCATCCAGAATAAGCAAATAAACCACTGTAGAATGCATTGGCTATTAGACCAGGACTCCAATCAGAATCTTCAAATGGATCTCTTAAACCATCATAACGACCTTAAATAAACAGGTTGTGAGTAGCGAAAAAATAAACAAAACAAAAGATAACACAGTTCAAACGTATATTATACGAATAAATATCAATTAGTAAATTTATTGTTATCCAAGTGTCCTAATGAAAAACACCATTGCATTGGTTAACACTCTATGCTCTAAAATCTCCACAGCAGAGTTCGAGTCTCAACAAAGCCTCAAGCCAAATATATTGTGCATCTGCAGTTCATGAGTAAAATGTTCCCCAACCACACACATATAGGCCAAGTTCGATTTCTAGCCTCATGGACTCCCTCCTAAACCTTACCTTATCGGATGTAAGTCCAATGCAAAGAGAAGATTGGATGTGGTGCTGGCAATCCCACCTCAAAGGGCTAAATAAAATCACCGTTACTGACACTTAATACTTTAAGTTTGAAGCCCTAGGTTTCAGTCGGAACATAAAGGAATGGTCAAAAAAAGAAAGAGTAAATTTGCAGGTATTCAACTGGGTAGAATGCAATTAGTTTCAGGATTTCATCAGGGACTGACATCAGTTGGAGGAGCATCGGAACACCAAGGAGTACTGAATAGCTGTTTCGTCCTACCATGGAACTCTTCTCCAGTACGCAACCACCGTCACGATTCGAACCCAGGGCCATCCGGTTACAAGGCTAGCTGGTAGACTAGTGAGCCACTGTGACCTGATCCAGTGGACAGTTCATGAATTCTAACTTCCACCAACTCAACATGTAGCGAATCCCAGCAAACCAACACTTGAATATTTAAGTATTGAGTATTTAAGGAACTCATATCACTCATATCAGATTCGAACCCGCGTCACCCAGTGCTATGGTCACAGACAATAACCACTGAGCTGTTCGAGATGGCGACTGACCTGACTGTATGAATGAACTCTTGTCAACAGTTGCCTACTTTCGCTCCATACTGAAGATCAAGTAACCTGCAAGAAAGGAAGATAAGCTACAGGGGACACCAAAAAGCAGCAGGTCAGTGAGTTGATACGTGGGGATTTAATCGTTATTGAGGTATGTCTAATCGAAAACTCTCATTAACTAAGGTAACTGACTGTGGTTGGCTGACAAATTTTACTGAGGATGAAATATTTTTTAATATCTTCTGATTTGAAATAATTATTCCCAACCGATGAATATCCAATATTTAATTGGCAAGATGTGACACTGTCAATGAAAATTATCATTAGGTTTATACCACCTCAGTTCTGTATAAGGATGATATTATCGTTGTTCTGGATGTATAAACTTCTAATCGAATTTAAAAAAATGTTAAATGCTTTCTTATTTCAAAGAAGACTGCATCATTTAGAGAACGATTGAAAATCAGGTAGTGAGTACTGGATGGCTTTTTCCTCTGTCCTAGTTTCGGACTTATCAGCAGTATGCACCCGCTGGGTTTCCAATTCAGGACCTTTCGGTTACAACTCAATGACCAGCCCTTCAATTCTTACTTCTATCAATTCGTGATTTTAGCTTGGCCATCAACTAATGTTATCAGTGAGTGTTTATCCTCACTCCCTACCGGATGGACCCCATTGGTCATGACTTCTCATTAGACCTCCAAGCACATTTCACCTGTAACCAGTAACTAGCGAGCATAAGAATAAATTTCAAGACTTAGTTTATAAGGAATGAGGACAAATACCCATCGATGACACTGACTAGTATTATTATTATTATTATTGTATCCTTTAGTTCCTAGAGGAACATAGGGCTTCAGCTGCGCACCTCCATTGACTTCGGTTTTCTGACAACTTTTTCACCCTGCTCCAGGTCTGTCCACATGCTTTCATCTCCTCCTCGCATGACCTCCTCCAAGTCACCCTTGGACGACCAACTCGCCGCCTCCCTTTCGGGTTCCACTCGAGGGCTTGTCTAGTGATGTCACTTGATGGTTTCCTCAGCGTATGGCCAATCCATCTCCATTTCTTTCTGCCTATTTGTTTCACAATCGGTTCCTGATTGGTTCGCTCCCAGAGATCCCTGTTGCTGATCTTTTCTGGCCATCTGATCTTGAGTATTGAGCGGAGACAGTTGTTAATGAAGGTTTGAAGTTTGTTTGAGATGCTCTTTATGACTCGCCAAGTCTCTGATCCGTATAGTAGCACTGACTTCACATTGGAGTTGAAAATCCGGATCTTATTTTTGATGCTGATTGCTGTTGACCTCCACACAGATTTGAGAGTAATGAAAGCTTGTCTTGCTTTTCCGATTCTGGCTTTGATGTCCTCGTCAGTTCCGCCTGTAGTTGAGACGATGCTTCCCAGGTAGGTGAAGGAGGTTGTTTCTTTCAGGTTCTTCCCATTTATGCTTATTGTGGTCTGTTGGTGTTGTTGATGTTGGCTAGGAATCTTCATTATCTCTGTTTTATCTATGTTCACGTGAAGTCCTATCTTTGATGCTTCTTCTGCCAACTTGTTACTTTTCACTTGCATATCTTCCAGTTTATGGGAAATCAGACATATATCATCGGCGAAATCCAGATCCTCCAAGTCTTTTGTGTCAGTCCATTTTATGCCTGTTCCCTCGTTGGTTGCCGTTGTCTGTCGCATTATCCAATCAATTGCAATCAGGAAGATCATTGGTGATAGTAGACAGCCTTGCCTCACTCCCGTCCTCACTTCGAAGGCTTCCGTAAGTTTCCCGTTGTGGATTACTTGGCATGCAGCATTGTCGTATAACTGTTGGATGAGGTGTATAATTGTCGATGGGACCCCGTAGTAGCGAAGTAGTTTCCAAATGACCTCTCGATCGACGCTGTCGAAGGCCTTTTCAAAGTCGATGAAGTTGAGATAGAGAGGTGACTGCCATTCCAAGCTTTGTTCAATGATGATCCGTAGAGTGGCGATTTGATCAATACATGATTTGTTTCTCCTGAATCCAGCCTGTTCCGGACGAAGTTTTTCATCTAGGGCTTGTTTGATTCTCTCCAGGATGATGCGACTTAGTATCTTGCTTGGAATGGACAGAAGCATAATTCCACGCCAGTTTTTACATTGACTTAAGTCTCCTTTCTTTGGAAGTTTGAATAAGTAACTGTTCTTCCAATCCTCGGGTACTTTGCCCTCTTTCCACACCTTCTCCAGTAGTGGTGTCATCAAGTCCGCTGTTGTCTCTGGGTCTATTTTCAAAGCCTCTGCTGGGATTCCATCTGGTCCCGGTGTTTTCCCAGCTTTAAGCATCTTGATTGCATTCAGGACTTCTGATTTCGTCGGGGGGTCAGTGTTCACTGGTAGTTCTGCTTCCGTTGTTGGTATTGCTGGACGTGTTGTAGGTGGCGGACGATTTAGAAGTCTTTTGAAGTGTTCAACCCAGTGCTTTCTCTGTTCCACCTCTTTGGTGATTGACTTTCCATTGTCGTCCTTTATTGGCTTAATCTGTGTCGAACGTTTGCCCGAAAGGTTCCTAGTTGTTTGGTAGAGTGTGGCGAGGTCTCCTTTGCCTGCAGCTTGTTCTGCTTCGTTTGCCATGGTTTCATAATATTTTCTTTTGTCTTCCCTGGCACTTTTCTTCACTCTTTTGTTCAGTGTATTGTAGCTTGCATTCAGCTCCTGTTTTTGTTGCTCGTCGTGCACTGGATAATCTTTTGCTTCACTGTCCTTCTCTCTTCTATTAGTTTCCAAGTGTCCGTAGTGAGCCACTGTTTGTCCTGTCTCTTTTTTCTGCCTAGAATTTCTATGCAGGTTTGGCTCCACACCGTTTTCAAGTTGTTCCAGTGCTTTTCAACGCCGACCTCTTCGCTAGTGTTGATTTGTGTCTCGGCTTTGTCCTTTATGCTTGCAATGAAGATGTCCTTTGTAGCCTGGTCCTTCAGCTTTTGAGTGTTGAACTTGGCTTGTGGTCTATCTGCAGCTCCTGATTCCCTGAAAGCTTTTAATTTGATTTGGATTGTCCCTTGTACGAGATAGTGGTCTGAGCCAACGTCTGCTCCTCTTCTTGCTTTTGTGTCCAGTAGGCTGCGCCTCCACTTCCTTGAGATTGAGATGAAGTCGATTTGGTTTTTGGTTTGCCCGTCTGGTGACACCCATGTAGCCTTGTGGATATCTTTGTGCTTGTATACACTGCCACCAATCACCAGTTCGTTGAAGGCGCAGAAGTCGGCGAAGAGTTCTCCGTTTTCATTCATTTCTCCTAGAGCTTCTCTACCCATGATGAGTTCCCTTCCCGTATTGTCTGGTCCCAGTTTGGCTAGTAGTCGAGCTGAAACCATCAATTGGTAGAAGTTAGAATTCATAAGCTGGCCACTAAGTCCCGTCATAATGGATGACCAGTCTACGAACTTGTCTTGTAACCGAAAGGTCTCGAACTCAAAACGCGGTAGGTGTGCGCCACTGGTGAGTCCCAAACTAGGACGAAGGAAACAACCGTCTAGTAGTCTTCTGTAGTTTTCATTAACTCTCTAACTTATAGATTAATCCGAGATCTAACTTGAAATAAATCCAATCCCTTCAATCTAACTCTTGTAACATAGTACTAATATATATTTATGAAAGATGAGTATTTTCTATCTATCTATCTCCATTTAGACACTACATACGTGTATTTCTAGCGCACTTGATGTATAAGTTAACATTATGTTTTGCAGTGTAATATTTTATTTACTCAACCACTTTTTAAAGACTATCACATGAAGTACTTATTTATTTTTAAAACACCGAAAATATCTTTTCATTACCCTTGTGAAAATAGCAAAGGGTAAAACAAAAATAAAGATGGATTTCTTGTTTCTTTCGTATAATACGGATGATATAATTTGAAGTAATTAGTCCCCTTCATAAATTTCAATGGTGTTGTTAGAAGACAAAGATTATCTAAAAACCTGTGATGTATTTAAAAAAAATACATTCCGAACATTACATAGATCCTACGGAAAGTAAAGTTTACTCTTAAGGTCATCTCATTAAACTCCACTAATCCAGACACCGTCATTTCAGCTGTAGTTCAGACATATAATGATGATGATGATGACAAATATTATTTGGTAAC